TTGTTTACATTTAGTTAAGTACCTAAACAAATGGACTATAGTTTTTAACTTGCGTAATTATATGAATGTTTATTACGTAACAAAAGTTTTTGTAGGTATATTGAAATGTGATTTGTGTGATAGTTGTAGCAATTTGTAAGTCCGTGACATTAAGAAGAATTTTTGTTTTTAATTACGATTTATTTTTCTACGTAATCTTTTTTTAACTCTGTATACCAGCCGTATCCCAACTCCTGCTATCCCAAACTGAATAATAAAGCCTTTGTTTCAGCTATCACTTCCTCATTTTATGCAAATCGGCAAAAAATCAGAAAAAGAAGTCAAATGGGGTCCAATCTGGTGAATACGAGGATATGGCAGTAGTTTTTACCATAATTCACAAGCAGATGAGAAACGGAATACTTGAAATTCTTCATCTTCAAAAAATATATCGACTTTATTTTATTTTCGCGCTAATTAAAATAACGTCAGTTGCTTAGTAAGGAGTTCTAAATTAAGAAATAAAAATAAATTCCAATAAAAAGTTTTTATTTAACCTTAAAGTCACATAATACGTGAACCCTCGTATTAACGGTAGAAATAAAAACTGCAAATTGACGATAGGATTTTCCATTTTCTTGATCTATACAGTTTCCTTTTCATTTGAGTGCATAAAATATAATGTTTAACAGTATTTTTTTGTACATGAAAATAGTATCCAAATGTAAAACAACTATGTACTTTAGTATCAAATAAAAAAAAAGTGGGTTACTTTTCTGCTGATAAGGCATGCAGTAACAATTAACATTGGCTTCAAGACTTCATCTGTTGAAAGGCAGAAGGTAAAATTTTTTTATAACACTTTCGCTTAAGTGGCGTTTAAAGTTAAGATGACATTTTGTTGAAATTATTGCATTTCACTGAGTGTTATTTGACACGACACTCTTGAGAAATACTTAAGTGTTGAAAATAAGGAATTTCAAACCTATCTCAACAAAAAATATCAGCTTTCTAACACGGCCCCTGTACACAATGCAAAGGTACAATGTTTCGCTGATTTTTTTATTTATGTTTACAACTCTCCTATTTAAGAGTTCACTACCTCGGCTCGAATGCAATTTTTTCCAGAATTAATTTTTTTTCATACGAAATTAAAGTAATTTGAAAAATATACATTGTATAGTGTACGTGTTCTATTTGGTTCAGTTGATATAAAAAAAAATCATTTTGTACAGCGGTTTTCTTGTAAAATTTTGAGGTAAGTTTGTGTTTATTTTTTTCTATCGTGAAAATTTTTATGAATCGTATTTTTACACCGATATACATTTAATTTTTTTTTTAAAGATTTAAGATTTACACCGTATAGTAATCAGTGTATATCCTCAACCTTACTATATATTTTTTCCAAAATGCTTGATTCAACACTTTCATTGTTATGGGAAATCAACCAAAGACATTTGAGGCTGTATAAACTCTTAAGAATAAAAAGTTATCGACTAATTTTATTGGGGAAGCCTACGTCCAGCAATGGACTGCGATAGGCTGATGATGATAACTAATTTAATTCGTAGAATCTTTAAGCGTCTCTCCAGAAAAATTGTTATTTTGCAGATGTGGCCTTTTTACCCTAAGGGTAAGTTATGGTTACTATTAGTAGTTCGTGCTTTTTTTAAATATCTACTCGTCACCGAAACCACTCGAGTTTGGAAAGTATAAAATACCAATACAGTTATATATCAATTTGGAATTGATATGATCATACATATGGCAAGTATGAAAAGAGCCATTTTTGTTTAGTCTTTGTGGCATTGTTTAAAACATATTGATCACTTTTTTATTTGAAGTCAATTTTGAAGATTTTTTTATGGCACGAACAAGACGTGGGCCTGGTGGTAAGCGACACGCCTGTCCATAACAGTTGCAGTGCCACTCAGAGCTTTAAAACGCAGCGATCTGGGAAGCACTGCCACTGCACCCATGTATTTTAAATTTTTATTGAATTGATATTCAATTATTTTTTGTGAAATTACTCCACTAGTTTCCAAATCTATGAAAGATTTATCACCCAGTTAGTACCTTTACAGCCTGGCGAGAGACGTCGCTATTCATTGTTTTTTAAATTTTTTGTAATTGATATTCAAGACCCATGTAGCCTATAATTTCACCAACACCCTTATCCTTCAAAACCAGAACGCATTAAGGCTCACATTACTGCTGGGCTTCAGAAACAGGTAAGGTGGCAGTATTTCCCTGGACGATCTCTTTCACAAGGAGCTCTACTGCTACCTAAATAAATGATACTAATTTTATATAATATACGTGTTAAATGTAAAACGTGTATTGATGGTAATACTGTGTTAACAATAAGACAATACTAAAAAGTTCAAAAAATATTTTATGATATAAGTTCTAACTTTTCGTATAAAGACCTTCGTATAATCCACAAGCAGAACGGCCTCTTTTAAAATCACAACCCTTCAAAGCCAAAGTCAAACAATCATTTATTCCATAGGTAAAATTTTAACACTTGAAAACGTTATTTTATAAGCTACTGCTCGTTCACTACGCTGACCTCCCTGGGAAGAACAAGCAAGAAACTCTAGGGATTGCTCTTTTCAAATAAACTTAATAGCTATAAGAATACATTTTGAATCATATTTGTGTGGAATTTAGACTCACTTTGTCTTTATCTAACACGTAGTCTATAATTTTTTAATATGACTTTTCAATTAAAATACTTTTAATGTAAGTTTGAAACTTAGGAAATGATAAACTTAATATATGCTCCGGAATCTTATTGTAAAAACGTATACAGTTCCCCATAAAAGAATCGTTTACCTTAGTTAAACGAAAACGTGGTACCATGAGTTTGGACTTATCGAGTTCTTAGGTTTTCGCGATTGTTACACATAGGAAATGAAACTATTTTTCCGGAGTTAAATCGCATATATTTGTTTTTTTTCAAACAAACCAACGTTTCGGGTCCCATGGTCACGGTTGACTCTTAGTTGGTCAGTAAATCATTCATTTACTAATCCTTCATTTTGAGTTCACTGGTGGATAAAAGTTACGATTTTGACAGAATTATTTGGCACTGTGTCACGCTCTTCAGTTGAGTGGGCAATAAATTGTTGTTAACGAAAACTGCCAAGTGGGTTTGACAAAGAGATTAATTTTTTTATAGTTGTAAAGATATGAATTTTATGCACATATACAGAGTG